CATGATGTAGTCCCGGGCCAGCAGCGTCAGAACCACCATGGAGTCCGGTGCCAGCAGGGGCAGAACCACGATGGAGTCCTGGGCCAGCAGCGGCAGAACCAAGATGGAAGCCTGGGCCAGCAGGGGCAGACCCATGATGTAGTCCCGGGCCAGCAGCGTCAGAACCACCATGGAGTCCTGGGCCAGCAGGGGCAGAACCAAGATGGAGTCCTGGGCCAGCAGCGGCAGAACCAAGATGGAAGCCTGGGCCAGCAGGGGCAGATCCACGATGAAGTCCTGGGCCAGCAGCGGCAGAACCAGGTCAGGCATCTGGACCAGATATGAGATCGGGGCCAGGAGGAAGAGACGCAGGGCACGGTGTTGGTCTCGACTGTTTAGTGAGAGGCGGACAGCCACCTTCAACACTTACTGAGTACGTGTGACACGCTGCACTGAAATTCAAGTCTGCAGTTTCAATAAACCCCTTTTGCAAACCTGCGGCTGGTGTGTTGGCGCACCTCAACGACATTTCCAAGGGCAAGGCAAGGCAGTTTTATTTCTAAAGCAGGCACAAGGCAACTCAATGTGCTTCACATAAGCAAAGACAAAATGCCTACAAACATTTTCAAACACAAAAGTGAACAACATTCAGAAGCAAATTTGGGAATTTCTCCATTGTGAGACAAATAAAGGTTTTCTTATCTTAAACCAAAGAAAACAAAAGTAGTTTACCAAAATGACTAAAATAATGTACACTGACAACAGTGAAACACATTCACAGAAGACTTGGAAAAACTTTTAAAGTAAAATAAAGTAAAAGTAGATTTCTAAAAGAACTCAAAGAAAACACGGCAAAACAAAGTGCACTAAATTGACGGCACTTCCCCTCAGCATGACTGCTCCATCTGTGCTAGGATAACATCCCTTACCCACTCCCCCTCCAAAAAAAAAAAAAAAAAAGAATCCCTGGAAATTAACAGGTGTTCAACTGATAGTAACCCCTTCAAAAAAGAACAAAACAAGAAAAAAAATGCAGAGATTTGAGAATTGCATCCCTTCCCTCCTCCTCTGGCAGCACTTGCGTGACCTTGTTATTGCTGAGTCGGACCTGCACTTTCTTTCACGCGCCGGGCCTCCTACAGTTATTGGAGAATGGATCTTACATGCACGCAGCGAAGTACACAAAAGTGATGGCGATGAATTCGTCGACAACCAAAAAGGGGCTCCGCTTGGGCCTTTTCATCTGAGCCAGACAAAATCGCCACTTGAAAGGCTCGCTGGTGTGAAAGCAGTTAAAGTGCAACGACGGCACACTTCCTTGCATTTGCAAAGGGGTGGGGGGGTTCCAAGAATTAACTAAATTCAGACGGCACAATAAGGTTAGTCTGGTTTATTTCCCCTCTTACAAAAAAGAAAAAAAAGAAAAAAAAAGGGGAACGTCTATGTCACAAAAAGTGAGGCAATCCAATCCCTTTGGTGCTATTTTTTTTATTTTTTTTTAACCGAAACAAGGAACATCAGAATGTAGGTGATAGGACGTGCTGGATTTTTTGTTTCAGAGTTGAAAATACTACAAAAAACTTGCATGATCGCCCCCCCCCCACTCGATCCCTCCAAAACCAAACCAAACAGACACGTTTTCAACAAAAATGAAAAAGAAACAAATGACATTAATCCAGCATTTAAAAAAATACTGAACACACACACAGCCACGCACACACATTTGTGTGTGTGCACAAACTTGCAGAAAGGGTCCGATACTACGACACCTGATACCATTTAACCAGCCTGTCCTCTCCTGGCCTCCCTGAGTGTGCAATGTGCAGTTGGGCAGGCAGCGACTTCAAAAAGTGTCTTGGGAAATGTTTTTAAAACTACTGGCAGTAAATGAGTTAAAAAAAAAAATGGATGTTCATGAAAGAACGAGGCTCCGAATTTGAAAAATGGCTTCAAAAAGCAGGTGGTGGGTGAAAGAATATCATCCAAATGGTGAATCTGCACTCCATTCCCACGCGGTCAAACTTTGGACCTGCATGTGTGATGCTGTCAGAACACTGAACGTACACTGCAATCACAAATCAAAAGCTTGATTCGACTTTGGGTCCAAAGGAGCAGCCAAGAAGCTCCTTTAAACGGCGTATTATGCAATCGGCAGTGACTTGGATCTTCACATCTCACTGATCAAAGAACACCACTCTGACCCACACCTAAACGGATCTCATATGGTGGAATCCAGCCACAAAAAAAAAAAATATATATATATATATGTCTCTCGATGGCCAAAATGCAAACACAGGATGTGTGTGTGTGTGTGTGTGTGTTTAGTAGGTTGCAATAGCACAAGATAATGCAGAGATGGTACCAAATCAATTTCTTGATTGAAATGCCATCGATCCCTTTCAAAGTTGAGGAATGATAAAAAAAACAAAACACCGGTATTGGAACATTCCACAGGCAAATCAGAAACTGGTGTCATGATTGGGTACAGAAGAACCGTCCTGAAAGCCTCAGATGTTTATCAAGCCTTTGTCAGTGAACACAGTTGGTCTCGACATCTAAAGATGCAAACTCAACCGTGCAAAGAAAAGGCCAGATAAAGACGTCGCTGGCTTCTCTGGGCAAGAGCTCATTTGAGATGAACTAACGTCAAGTGGAAAAGTGTGCTGTGGTCTGACGAGTCCACATTTCAAAGATATATAGTTTTTGGGGGGAGCGGGGGATCATGGAGAATCATGGACGCTGTGTCCACCGGGCCAAAAATGCAAAGGACTGTTAATAGGTAATGGACACCGCCAATGCCAACACAACTCATAACTTAAAACCTTGCAAATTAGACTTTTAACAGACTTTTTGGGGTTCCCGACCCATCACGTGGAAAATCAGACCCAATCAAACCCGCGACATTTGTGGTGAAAGTGCAAGGAGAAGCAAGCAAATGGAGTGAATGAACTCCGCTTTCCGCTTAATGTCAACAAATAAAAAAGGGGGTCGGCTACATCTCAAGGTTGCCATGTGTTTGCTGAGTCCAGAGTGCGCCATCTGCCGTGGGCACTCGGACCACTCGGCGCTGTCAATATGCTTCAAACATGGCTTGTGGAACAGAACGGGTCCTCTAATGAATAAACTGTTTTTCCTTTGAGTGCCCGGGCCATGTCCGCCCACGCCGATCAATACTGGGCTACCGAAGCTGCGAGCCACCGCCGACGCAACATGGACGAATCTTTAACCCTTCGTGTGAGCGAGGGCGGGAAAACAGTCGCAATCGCGCATCTTGGCCGGGTTTAATTAGTCACGATTCAAATCTGTCTCACAGTTCCGGATGAACCGGGTTCAAATCTCAGCTCCTGTCTTTGTGCGTTCAGTTTGTTGGCTTTGGCACCCCGCGTTCATTCCGTGAAGACTAATTTGAGTGTGGCGATGTTCTTGAAGGTTGGTTTGCGACCGAGGTTTTTCGGGATCGGTTCCCGTTAGTGAGTTCGTGTATTGAAACAGAACCAGCAGGTTTAAGACCAAATTCTGGGTCAGCAGGAACAGATCCACGCCGACGCTGACAATCTGGACCAGCAGGTGCCGACCTGGGACAATGTTCAGGAGCAGCATCAACTGACTCGGGGGGGCAGGATTTTTCACTCTGGGTGTCAAATTTTCACAAAGTACAGTGAATCCCTGTCAATTTGCAATTCACCATGAGCAGATTCATCCGAATCCGACAACCGTCCCGTACTCTCGGCATGTTTTTGGTCTTTAATACCTTCATTAAGATGCCGCTCAAATGCTGAGTTCTTTCAAAAGGTGGCATGTTAATGGAGGAGTAGCCACCATTGGCCATCCGGCTTCTTGACGGCCCAACAACAGCGTGACGAAAGATTCCACTGGAGGTCCGACGGGCAGGTGAGGATTGTTGTGGGGTTGACGCGGGGGGCTGCACGGTAAACAAGTCGAGCTGGAGAAAAGTCCTATTTTGTTATCGGCAGTGCTGCAAGTTAAGAACTGATCAGATTGGTCACGGCTAGCCGCTCAACGTAAGCGTCCAATGAAAGGAGTTGTTTGCGATACCCTTTATGTATTTTTTTTAAAAAATACATAAAGTAGCTAAGCATCAGTGAGTCAGACATGTACGAAAATGGCAAGTAGAAAATGAATTATTGATATTTTTACATGCCAGCATGTTAGCACTTGGGTTTTTTTTTTTGCTCCAAAGATCAAATCATCTGAAATCCATCATTTCAGTCACCTGAGACGTTTTTAAATGACAAAATGCTTTGGGATCATATATACAGTACTTTGGGGTATCTTGGGTGAAAATCCTTTTTTTTTTTTTTTTTTTTTAAGTGAAGCTTGATGTTTCTCATACTTTGCTCATTCCGCCTTCAAAATATTAGAAACAGTCTTTGGTATGACGCAATTTGCAAACTGCCGCCAATAATTTTTTTTTTCTTTCGATCTTACCAGATAACTGAGCATTGTTGTCTTAATTTGAACAGAGACCCCCCCCCCCCCATGTTTTGGAATCTCAGCTCCTGATATCGCAGCGGTGACACGCTCAATAAAAAGAAAAAGGTGGGGGGGGGGCACCACGTGGGCTTTTTGAGTCCAGTGTGCGTCACATTAGTGCAAGCCAGCAGGCATATATAAAGAGAGATGCGCACACACACACACACACACAAACACACATAAACACAGCAGTTTACTCCACAACAAGACCAACAACAGGTAGGAGAAAGTTGCTTCAAATGTGCTGCTTCTTTTTTTTTGTTTTTGTTTTGTTTTTGGTCGTTTAAATTTTGATTCAATCATTGAGGGGGGTGTTTTGTTTTGTTTTGGTTTTTTTGCCCACTTCTAAGAACTTTACATTTAAAATTTTTTAAACCGTGAATCTTAAATCATTTTGTAAATAGTGTACAATTTTAAAGGAATCCTCGCCTCTCCTTCCACTCAGACAATGAAACTTTACCTCGCAGTCGCTGTGCTCCTGCTGGCTCTGATCGCCTACGCAGGTCAGTATTGAGTTCGGTGTGACGTCTAAATGTGACTTTTTTGTTTTTTTTCTCCCAAAATGATTATTATTGTTTGTTTACAGCCAAATAAATTATTCTTTTTTTAAACATCATTCATTCATGCACCAACGCAGATGCTCAGGAGGAGACCTTCGAAGAGAAGTTGAGCAGGTACGGCGACCAGGTGGCCCAAGTGTTTAGAAACATGGCGGAGAACACCAAGGAGTCCCTCAACAACATTCGCAACAGCCAAATGGCCAGCGACGTCAAGTACGCTCGCAATGAGCACACACACAAACACACACACACACACATACGCTGCTTGAAAATGCTCATTTGTGCATTTCTGCTCAAACAGGAAATGGTTTAAGGAAAACTTTGGCTCTAAGTAGGACCTTCGCTTCCAGTGTGCAACCTTCGCCCGAAGCTCGACATCATCGTATTCTGCTCTGCTAGGAAAAAAAAAAAAAAAAAAAACAAGCTCATATTACTCCTGGTCTGCTCGAAGTGTACGTTGTTTATGGGCACACACCTTACATTGATGACATTTAAAAGGCTTTGTTGAAATATGCACATTCGGTGTTGCCATTTGTGATGTGGACTATGTGGTCAAATGTGTCTTGACGATGTGAAATAAATGAACAATTCCGGTGTTTCCGCTCCATCATTGCCCAAAATAAAAAGATGAGTCCTACTGTGTGCCTCTTTGAAATCAAGACAAAGACGTCGCCACATTGCTCATGAAATGTCACATTAGTCTTCTCAATTGGTGCTTTTCTAGCCCCGCCCCCTCGCCCCAAAAATAAATCGATAAAATGAACACAAAATGCATGCAACAGAAGTCCATCAACAGAAATGGAGAACAAAGAAAACGCTCATGAATACGCGGCCGGTCCCGTAATCGGTTTACTTGCACGAAACACTTGGTGATACAAAACAAACAATCTCAACCAATTTATTGAACACATTGTGTTCATGTATGACGAATTCAATTCAAAGGGTCAAATGGATGATCTGTTCAACTGAAGGCGGAGATGATTTTAGATGACGCGGCCACATGAGATTATTTCACCCAAAGAATCCTTTTTGCCACTATTTTAGGAAGGTGATGAATTATAAATCCCCCCCCCACCCTGCGCAGTTTGCGAATATTAGCTTTCTTAGCCCTGCAAGCATAATAGCAAGCACTTCAGATCCAAGAATGGCTCAGCAGCAATTGTGCTCAGACTGTTTGAAGAAATTTTCGCACACCAAAAAATTACTTAAAAAATCAAAAAAATTATAAATGATAATGTGAGAGAAAAGATACGGGGGTGGGGGTAGACATTTGTAACATGGTCAAAAGCTGCACCTTTAGCAGTTTGCATCATGAAAGTCATGAAGGGGGTCGACGGGGGTGTTGAAGCCGACGACGATGAAGCGCGTCCGCCATCGATTGTCTATTTGTCTCCACAGCCCACAGGAGCAAAGGTCAAGTGCCAACATGTCGGCGTTTCCCCGCGAGCGGTTTCACAAGAGCTGGACTAAAGTTTACGCCGGTTAATGATCCACAGGGGCTGGCGTTGCTTCACTGAAGGCTGCGGCCCGCGACAGGCGGCCCGGTGACGGAGGTCAGCGGACACATCGGTGGATGGAAGTAATTTCCACTCCCGCCAAAAAAAAAAACAAACAAACAAGCCCAAAAAAAAAAACATTCAACATGTTTAAAGGAACACGATGTTACTGTTGTGTTTTTATTTTTTTTTATGACCAAAAGTAGCAGCCCCAAAATCAACCCTGCCGTTGCTATAGCAACAACTGATTACTTGAGCGGTCATTTCTACGTACGTCGCGCTGGATCAGTCGGGACAACTCAAGATGTTGGGTAAAATGTACACCCGCGACGGGGATCAACTTGAGCCTTTTCCGATCAAAGTCAGCAAACGCCCGATCGTCCGAAGAGATGATCCTGTGGCGTAGTATTTTCCCACCCCGAACTGGTCAAGCCGACGGTCGTAAAATTGCGGTGCACATATCTGGACAATTGGGCCAAATTTGTGCATTTTTCGTCACTCGCAATTCAAGACAGGAAAGTCGGCGTTATCGGACGGCTCTGAAATATTATCCTGAACGATTATCCTGCGGGTGTGGGGTAGTGTTTTTACGAGCGCTGAGAGTGGCCACCGTTAACAATCTGCGAAACCGGTTCAATATTTACGAGCTGAATATTCGGTGTGTGTCGTTTATCCCCAATGCAAATTGATTAGTACGTATTTTTGTTTGAAACACGATCGGAATTTTCCATTTGGGGGGTGGGGGGGGGGGTATGAGCTCTTGACCGAACATTGGTTTAGGATTTTATGCATCAGTACGTCGCCAGGCTAGCATTTGTCATTTGTCAGATTTTCTGTTGTTTTAACTTTTGTTTGTTAACCTTTTCAGAGCAGGTTTGTTTGTTTTTCTTTATTTTAAAAAATGCTTTGTTTTAGTTGAGTTTTTAAAATTGGTTTTAGTCACGTATATATTTTTTTTAATCTAGGGAGTATTTGTCAAGTGACAACCCCCCACTCCAAAAAAAACTAAATTTTTGCCCTTTTTTGTTGAGCAACTGAATCTTCATTCATTCATGATTTGCATTTCTGCACTGTATCATGTTTTTGTTGTATCCAATTCATCGACGAATCGACAAAGTCATCAACGGATGAATCGATTCCTAAAATCATCGTGAGTTGCTGCCACACTTCAGTTGAATACTTTGAGCACAATCCACGAACACGTAACCGCCTTGGCAGTGGCAATGATTTTCCTTTTGCTTCTTCACACGAAAATGATGACCCACGTGTAACTTTGCTCGAGATACTTTTTTTTTTTGTCCTCCTCAGAACAAACAAAGTCTTCACCCCTGCCTGTGTTTGGACAGCTGTCGGATGTGGAACGTTGTTGCTTCAGAGATCAGATTGATTTTTTTTTTTTTTTTTTCTTGCCATGGACTCTGCCCAGAGAAACGGCGCTCCGGGGGCTTTATCACATGGACGCTCTTCTCGAAAAACCCTAATCGGTCCCTTTAGATCAGATCGGAGACTTTGACTGGTCGACAAACACATCAGCGTCTGCCAAAACGGGCTCCGATATTCGATCCAAAGGGCGCTCGCCGGGACGCCGCGCAGACGTCAGCGACGAGCGGACCGAGAGGAGTTTCGAGGTTCATTCGTAGGCAATCTTCACGGTCGTCATTTGGGGCCCCGGGCTGGAAATGACCACATGAGGCCAGCCAGAGTCCTCAAACGATCAGATGACACTTGCAAAGGCAAACATGAAAAAGCCAATTATTTAACTGCCACATGGAACGCAAACAAAAAGTCAGGCCACAGGGACCAATGTACGACCCGTTGCCTTATATAAATAAAATGACTCAATAACACTCGTTTCATTCAACTCGTTTGTGTGCCGGAGCAGCTGAATTAAAAAAAATAAACACAACAACAACAACAACAACAACAAAAAAGGTACACTGTTTCGAATTGTCACGACTGGTTGTTTTTTGAGGCGGTTCAACTCAGAGCAGAACTGAAAATCAGACAATTTGAACAAAGTTTGTTTTTGTTTGTCGGCAGATGAGATTTCTTGTCATCGCTCTCGTTCTTCTCATTCAAGGTAAGTTTTTCCGGCCCGAATTATTTCTTTTCTTTGGGCTGACACGCTTCCTCCTCCTACTCGGCAGCGAGCGCGCCACTCTGGGCCCAGACGCCGGATCCGGACCCACCCGACTCTCCAGGAATTCTACAAAGACTACTTGACAACGCTCGGTATCGACACCGCACGCACACTTTGAAACACTGAAACACACACACACACACACACACACACACACACACACACACACACACACACACACACACACACACACAGAGAAAAGAGTGCACAAACACACACCCACACACAAGCAAACAAATGAGTGCACAAACACCACACCAAGTAACAGGGCACAAAAATAAACTAACACAACAAGCAAATACATACACACAAAAGAAACAGTCACATAAAGACACACACGCACAAATGAACACACTCAGAAGAAAGAACACACACACACACACACACACACACACACACACAGACACACACACACACACAAATGGAGACACGCAAAAGCAAACTCACAATCTCACTTGGAGAGACACACGCATGCTCACGGTTGAAAACTGACACACACTGACACACATGAAGGAACAAACGCAACACAGGCACACACAACCACAAAAAGAACACACACACACACACACACACACACACACACGAACCAACACAAGTGCAAACCAACAAACAAAGACCGATGGACGCATCCAAAGAGCACAGACAATTGCACCTGATTGGACACAAAAATCCAAATGAAACACACACACACACACACACACACACACACACACACACACACACACACACACACACACACCTCTCCGTTAAGCTTCTAACCCACTGACGGGCGAACAATTGCGAGTTGGCGAAGGTAGAAAAAAAATGCGTGTTCACGTCAGAGTACATCAGGGTTTGTCCAAGGGTGCAAATGTTCGCCAACAGTTTGTGTGTGTGTGTGTGTGTGTGTGTGTGTGTCAAGTTCAAGAAAAGTACAGGCGAACATCTGGTGACCTTTTGGCAAACATTTGCGCCCTTGGACGAACCCTGACAAACTCTGGCAGGAAGGGAACATCTGCCGCCTTTGAAGGGGCTCGCCATTGTTCGCTGTTCAGCGGGGGGAATAGTTGAGGGACAGAGGGGGCTTGACTGATTGCAAGCGTTTGGGTGCTCCTGAATATCGAGGTTGCCATTGCGCGGCCCTGCCGACTCAAGCGCCGCACTTGTGCATATCTCCCCCCGCCACCGCACAGTTCAGCCAAAGAGAACGTCGCTAGAACGACGGACATTGCGGTGGCATTCGCGAGGGAATACTACGACGAACACATCCAGCCGGTCGTGGACGACTACAGGCAATGGGCAGCTGGCGTCAACACAGCGGCGAGGGAGAAGATCGTCAACTTCTTCCCCTTCTTTGCCGCCAATACGACTGACCAAGGAGCCATTTAACAACACGCTTGCCGACCGCCTTTTTTGGTCCCGCACAACTGTACCCGTACATGCAGGCTTCATTAAAGCAACCAAATGTACAAAATGTGTCCTGAAATAACAGAGTCTGTGAATGAGGTACGCGAGAATATGAAACTCATAGTACATACAACATTTCAACAATTTGGGGAGGCAAGTCAGTCCAGATACATGTAGGCACAACATTGGCCAACTATGGTGGCCCGCAACGGTCAAAAAGATAACATACAGCTGAAAGAGTGGCTTTGTAGCAATTCTTCTCTACATTTACATGTATTCTTTTTTTTTTTTTTTTCTCAAGGGGTTCACCGTAGTCTACTACTCACGCAGCAGTCAGGTTATAATTACAGGAAGTATTCAGGAGCCCAGAGCAGGTCTAAGTTGTGGCGCAGGTGGTGCAATAAGGTGAACTTGATCGAGGCACAGGCAGACAGATGCTGCGCTCTGATGATACATGTTCATGAATATGACAACGGTGTGCATCGAACCCTTGAAAACATTGTAGCAGTCAATTAATGGATGAATTCAAACACATGATCAATTGGGAAGGCGGTTTCCAAGGGCCCACTTCATAGCTGTGATTGCCCTGGGCAATTTCAGAATATTTGTAAGTCGAGAACTGCTTGCATTTCCTTCTAAATGTACTTTTCCCACATCAATCCTCCCAGCGAGTCTATTTCTGCTTCCACAATGTCATGGACTGCGCTGCGCTGATTTTGAAGGGATCGAGTGGAGCCGCTTTTGTTGGTCCGGAGTAACTCGATTGCGTTCACTCCCACAACGGCGCAGTTGTTGGCCTGTGAAGGCTTTGGGGTCGCCTCGGAAAAGAAGGACCAAGCCGCTGGGGCGGATGGAAGTCTAGGCTTCCTTGCGAAAGCTGCTCACCCCCACGACACGATCTGAAAAGCGGGATTAAATGGAAGGATGGAGGGCTACTCAAGGAAATGTAATGAAGTCAATTTTGTGCATTACTCCACATCTCTGTAATATGCACCCATCCATTCTTTGCACCACCAATCTCGTCCAGAGTGAGCCTCTGGAAATTTTGGTGTGGAAAAATGTTTTGCAGCCATAAATACGAAGCAAACGCATGGAAAACGGTCACAACGATGGTAACTGAGTGTGCCTACTTGTGCTGCATGACTGAATGATTCTTTCGCTGCTGCGCAAACTACGAGTCGTTTATGCCATTCAGAACTATCGTAAACCGAGCAGGGACCCCCTAACAAACAAGTTTAGTGGCACACAACAATGCTCAGTGGCAATACACGGGAAAGCGTAGTTGCAGACGGACTTGCCCCCCCCCCCCCCCCAGTGTTTGTTTTACCTTTACTACTACTAATCGAGTTCCATGAACCTTTGCGGAGGCGAAGCGACGGTGGGCTAAAGAAGACCACGTTCAAAATTTGGTGATCATACTGCAAGACAGAATAATCGTTCTCAGTGCATGCATCTCAATGGTCATCATCTCGGTCTTATTTTACTGATGATCCAAAATTAAAATTCTTGCTGGGTCCAAGAATCACCTGATGCATCTCCAAAAGGGACAAAGGGGTCACTGTGCAAACCTGACACGGACTCTGCGAAAGGTCAACGA